ATTTCAACTATTTGCAGCAATATTATTATTTGAGGAACAGTGGTTGTCATCGTGACCAAGACGGGGCATTCTGTAAATTTTGGGGAAACGAAATTAGCGTCTGATGCAGATTATTTGGGGGTTCCAAGTGTAGAATTTGCAGATTTGTGGCCTTTTTGTTTTTGTTGTTGTTGTAATGGAATAGGATAAGGAAAGAGATTTATATTTTGAAGAAGAATTAGAGAAGGTATAGGCATTCGTGCCCAGTGGCTTAAAAGGCCAGAAAATGTTCATATGTTGAACAACTTACCCTTTTGAGACCATGACTAGGGAATTACATCGCGCTTTAAGCCAAAAATATTACATGGAAACACCGAGGGTTGTTTCGGAGGTCCGAATTACATCAGATCAGAGTGTGAGTGATGTTTGTATGCAGACGGGTGAGGTATTTTCCCCCCAATTTATTCGGGATCGAGCTGCTTTAAGAAGATTGTCAGATATTAGTGATGGAGATCAACAGCAGCAAAAGAGATCAGGTCTTGGTTTCAATCCGAGCAATCAAATAGCATATGAGGATCTCAGTGGTATTCTTGGACTCAAGAGGTTGAATTCTGAATGCAGTTCAGAATTATTGTCAATACCAATGACTGTTTATGCAGCTGAAATAGAGAACAAGGTTTATCCTAACAACACAAACAAATATCATTGGGAATATAGTGCTATTGGACAAGCATCAGGTTTACATGCTGATGAAATCAACCGAGGAGTTCAATTCACCCCCACGACGCCAACCTTGTATGCGTTGGAATCACCTCGTTCGTGTTATCCTTGTGGGGCTGGAATGGGAGATTTCTCTGTCACTGTCAAGATTAAATTTCTCTGCAGTTTCGGAGGTAGAATATTACCAAGGCCTAATGATGGGAAGCTTAGATATGTAGGTGGAGAAACACGGATTATATCCATTAGGAAAGACATCTCGTGCGAAGAACTAACGAATAAGACATATGCTATCTGTAAACATCCCCACACTATAAAGTACCAGCTTCCTGGTGAAGATCTTGACTCACTTATCTCTGTCTGTTCTGATGAGGATCTTCATCATATGATAGAGGAATATCATGAGCTGGAGAACACAGAGGGTTCCCAAAGACTTAGAATTTTTCTTATTTCTTCAAATGATTGTTGTGATAGCCCTCCTGGCATTGAAGGAAGGGTAGTTCAACCAAGTGATGTTGACTATCAATATGTTGCGGCTGTGAATGGTATATTAGACCCAAGTCTTCAGAGGAGCTCTAGTGGGCAGAGTTTTACAAGCCAGACTAGCCTAGCGGGAACCATCTCTGATCACAGTCCCAATTTTCGAACAGATGCTTCACATGCTACAGACTTTAGAGATCCCAATATACCAAATTTGGCAGGAATGTTCCCTAGACCTGTTGGTCAATTGTTACCTCCCCTTCAAATCCCACACAAGTCATTTAACCAATCACCTTTGATTTCTCCGGTTACAGTTATGCAAAAAGATTTTAAGAACGTGGATCCAACACTTGCAGAAGATACTAGAAACTTCACTCCAATTGTTTCAGAAAAACGCCTATGTGATACTACAGTTTATTATGTTGATGCAATGGGCCGTCCCAATCATCTTTATCATGGTTCTCCATTGATGAATTACCATCATGACAAATATACAGCGGAAACTGATGAGGCATACAAAGTTCATAATGTTCATTTCCCACGAAGCTCAAGTGAAGATTTTGTGCCTGCACTCAACTGTGGTCGAAGGGGTACACATTCAATAAAAAATATGCTGAACGAAAGGGCAGTTAATTATGAACAGCTATTCTCTGATGCTGAGTACTCGATGCAGTTAAGATCCGGAACCGCCCATATGGGACAAAGAATAATGCATTCACATTCTGAGCCAATACTGCAGGAACAGGATGAAAAGTCGATTCATGGAGCAGGCTTTCCGCTGACCTCAGCTAATGAAATAGATGAATCACCTACACTGGCAATGTCTAGTTCCTTGCAGGATTTGCCAACGATGTGGAAGGAGAGAATTGACAGGGAATTGCGAGATGTTAAATATGAGAAACGTGGAAAGTTGGCGCCTGGTAGTGAGAATGAAAGATTTGATGAATGCAATTTTTATGGAAAAAGGGATAATGTCAAGGGAGGTATTTATCATCTGCAACATGTTGACTACCAACAAAATGGTTGTCTCCCGCAAAATGTACAAAGGCTTGAAGGCAGAATTTCTGCCGAAAGAGGTTTCGAATTAGAAAATTCTGCAGGTACCATGGGTGGCCACTCCCTCATTTACCATGTAGAAACAACTGCTCCAGAGCTGTCCGAGGAGAGCAAATATTCTGTCAAGGATCAACAAGCTACTTCTGATATAGTAAGGAGCCAACCATTGTCTTGCGCATCTTCTGATCTACGACCTCTTACAACTCAAGCTTTGAGCGACAGAAAGATCATAAATCAGGAATCGGTAAGTATATCTCCTTTTTGCAAATAATAATTTTCTTTTAGGCTCCAATTTGTATGAACTAGTTATGTCCTTTTGTTGTTTTCAGAAATGGGATAGTTCTTCTTCAGGTATAGAGGTTTCTCTTATTGAAGAGAACTTTGTAACCTGTAATTACCATAAGGTTGCAGCCCATAGCAGAAAAAAAAGCAACTGTGATGATGCTCTCTTTATCAAATCATCACACTCAGATGAATCCCATGGCAAAAAGGATGAGGAGTTAGCTGTAATAGTTGAAGATGTAACTGATAGTATGCCTCCTGACGTACCCTTAGCTTCAGGAGTTGTCCCACGGGTTGAAAACGAGGTCAGTGATGAATTTTCATCTTCCAGAGGGAATGGTGCTCTAAGTTCCAGTTCCGAAACTGAACGTGAGGTAAACTTTTCCTGTTAATTTCAATTTTTTGTGGCAGTATATCCAGTTCATTCATTTTTAACCCAATAGTCCACTTTTCAGGATGCAGACAGTGTTACTAGTTCAAGGGATGAGTGTATGAGCGAGGCAGCAATAGCTGAAATCGAAGCTGGCATCTATGGCCTGCAGGTTCGGAGCTTCTTTATTACAACCTTTTCGTGTAGATTTAATTTTCATATATTATATAACATTATTTCTTTCGTCAAGTTAAAGTACCTGTAACTTTTTAAATTCAAGTCGACATAGCGGTGACAATTGAGATTTGTAAAATATGCATCATAGTATGGCGTTGTTGTAATACTAGTATTGAGCATTTTCCACAGCTAAATACTAGTATATATAAATGTCATTTAATAACTCTTTCTTGTTCGTCAAAAGAAAACATGTAAGGATGTTGATAAGGATTTTGCAACTGTAGAATAAAGATGATGGTTGTAGTCAAAAGCGACTTGAGTAGAAATTAGGTTACTACCTTCCAAGGGTGTAAACTAGTAGTATATGATGAAGTCTCTTAGATTTCTGCAATCTACGAAAGCTGAAATTATGTTTAACCGATCCATCCGTACGCTGCTATGCAGATTATAAAGGATGCAGATCTTGAAGAACTGCAGGAATTAGGATCTGGGACGTTCGGCACGGTTTATCATGGAAAATGGAGGGGAACAGATGTTGCTATTAAGAGAATAAAAAAGAGTTGCTTCTCGGGCAGTTTTTCAGAGCAAGAACGATTGGTGGGTTCCACATGATTTAAATTTTTTTTTTTAAATATATAACGAATTCCAGTGTTCATGGAAAATTTCATGGAAATTTCATAGAAAATCACTAAATTGTGCCTGCAGTTTCGACGTAAAAGTTGTACCTTCTATTTTCTCAAATGCATTTCAATAATGACTAGACCTATGAACATATTTCCTGCAATCTAATTCCACCCTCCCCCCTGGCCCTCAACTTGGGACCAAAATCTCACTGTTTGCTTAGACTAGAGATTTCTGGAGAGAAGCAAGGATTCTATCGACTCTTCACCATCCAAACGTTCTAGCTTTTTATGGGGTGGTTCCTGATGGACCTGATGGAACGTTGGCAACCGTAACCGAGTATATGGTGAATGGTTCGTTGAGGCATGTCCTTCTAAGGAAGGACAGGTAAGTTTGTCCAACTCCACATTTTGATTCTCTGCTTTATTGTGAAAAATGATTATTGAACTTTCAGTATTCTCTCTGCAGAGTGCTTGATCGTCGGAAAAGGCTTATAATTGCAATGGATGCGGCTTTTGGCATGGAATATTTGCATTTGAAAAACATTGTTCATTTTGATCTGAAGTGTGATAACTTGTTAGTCAACTTGAGGGATCCTGAACGACCAATATGCAAGGTAATTGTTAATATAGCTAATAGCGATCTCACGCACGTATAATATGTCTCCATAACCTGTTGTTCTAATGGACATTTACGCTTGAGATGCTGTTGGATAATTTAAAATTTTTTAAGAATGCAGTTTCCTTTAACTAGTTCAAATTCCTATTTAATGTATGGAGCTCGTCTGGGGTTATTTGCCATCTTTCAGGTTGGAGATTTTGGGTTGTCAAGAATCAAACGCAACACATTTGTTTCAGGAGGCGTCCGTGGAACTCTTCCATGGATGGCTCCAGAATTATTAGATAGTGGCAGTACCAAGGTCTCTGAGAAGGTTAGTAATTTAAAAATGAAGTAAGACCTTTAGTTTGATTTGTTTCATCCGAACCAAGTGGTGTAAATGTTGAATAGATATCGTGTTGGCGAACATAGTTTTATATTAATTAGAAGTGAGAAAGACTTAGTTCTGTATAATATTCTCATTGATATGGAATGTTTTGAGTGTTTTAGATCTAGAGTGAGTAATATCATACTATTATGAAAATATGGAGAGCTTCATTCTCTCAATAAAGAATCTTACCATCATTTCTTTTCTCGATAGGTTGACGTTTTCTCATTCGGTATTGCAATGTGGGAGATTTTGACAGGGGAGGAACCATATGCTAACATGCATTGTGGTGCCATCATTGGTAATTTTCCTTCCTATGTTGCTTTCTCAAAGCCTTCCTAAGAGAGGTCTATATGCCTCACTCTCGTAATTTTCATGAAAATTTCCTTCATCTTTCTTTACTCCTCACTCTTCCCTCCTTGTAATACCCTTCAATGTTATTTCTAATGCATAATTCCCTTTATAAAAAATGACAATAATCTTCAAATTGGACTGAATTTGGAGAATGACTTTTAAGAAGTGAAACGTTTTTAGAAGAAGCCGAATCTTTTGAATAATAATCAAACACTAGAAGAAGTTTGAAAAATGCTTTCAGTTAGTTAAGAGCACTTTTCTGTACCGAACCTAGCCATAGCCTTGCTATTGCAAAACTGTGTGCCACTGGTGAAACAGTGAGTTCTCTCTATGTTGTGCTGAATTGTTCAAAGTTTCAAGCAAGGATCATGGTTGTGCTTAAACTTTGTTTTGCAGGTGGAATTGTAAATAATACTCTTAGACCACCGATCCCGAAACGATGCGATAGCGAATGGAGAAAGTTAATGGAAGAGTGTTGGTCTCCTGAACCTGCAGCAAGGCCATCATTCACAGAGATAACAAATAGACTTCGAAACATGTCGGTAGCTCTCCAGCGAAAGCGCCCAAATGTAGCAACAAGTAGATGAAACAGTACAACATCCTCCTGTAAGTCTCACCATTTCTAGTGAATTGGAAAAACCAAAAAAAAAAAAAAAAAAAACTCAAGCTTAGGCTGTTGTTTGTAATTAATTTAACTGGCTTCCTCCATAGCCAAGATCTAACTTCCATGGAGTTGATATATGCTTCAAAAATCTGTAGATACTGTTAACTGTAATGCTTATAAAATGCATTTGGCTGCAGTTTCATGTGTCTGATGATTCTAAGTTCTAACTTTATGATTATTGTGGATTGGTAGTGCTACTTAGATGGTGGAAAAGCTTGTACTTTTGAGATTACCATGAATTTGGATGTATTGTCTTTTGCACTTGGAAATGTCATATCATTGAGGCATGAATTTATCTAATGTAAGTGTCAAAGACAGCGTTTCGTCGCCAACATAAGTTTCGCGATAATTGGCACCTATCTCTAATCAAAAGGTTATGAGTTTAAATTCTCACCCTCATTTATTGTATTTAAAAAAAGGCAGCATTTCATCAACAAATATTATCAAACACCGGAGATAAAACATAATAAAAATGAAAAATACTTTGGTGCTTATTAGTTAATACCTATCTTTTGCTAACCACTATTAAAATTTCGACAAGAGAAAGAAATGAAAAGAGAGATTTTTTTCGATTCTCAAAAAACTACAGAGCTGTGAATTTTTTATTAGTGGTCGACACGAACATGGGTGCTAATTAGTAATCATTTAAGTATTAGTCATAAAAGTTCTAAGAAGGTAAGTCGGAATGCTTAAATTACATTGATACTTTTTTTTTATCTAACCTATTATTAATGACATGAATTATATGAATGAGTAGATTGAGAAGCCACATTTGATTTTCGATGGTATGAGATTCATAAGCTTCATTTTACTCGACTCATATTTTATGTAGAGGTTGTTTTTCAATTTTTTTTTCTTTATATCCACGAGTGTTCGAATCGGTTTGCGCACATCTCAACTACAATCCCTAAGATAGATGATCATCATTGTTTTGAATCGATACCCTATCAATTAACCCTAACCCTTGAATTAATGAGTCATCCATGATGGTTTAATTTCAATCAAATAAATCATTATCACAAAAACAATTTTAAAATGTTAAGCGTGCAAAACAAAAATTTGAGTTAAATTATAAGTTTCTAAAATTTATCAATTTAGTTCATATATTTGAAAAAGTTTTCAAATATTAAATTTTTAAGTTTATGTCAAATGTTGTTATATTTTTAATAGACACTTTTTTTTTTTTACAGAATTTTTAATAGACACTTAAACTACTCATTTGTGTGTAATAGTATCTAATGTTAAGTTTGGTACTTTAACAAAAACTACCAAACACTTTAATTTGTCCAAAATCAATCCATTGCATAGTCTCTAATTAACAATAACTATGCATTAGATTGACGATAATTAAGATAAGGATCTATTAGACATAAAATATTAAGGTCTATTAAAAAAAATTTATAATGTACAGAGATCATAATAATACAAATTTAAGATTTTATTAACCAAACTTTAAACTAAAAGACTTAATAAATTGACTTTTAATGACCAAAGACTTTATAGTTTATCCTATATTTTATCCAAACTATAATTGACTTTTAAAATCATTTATGAAACTTTAATGGTTGATCAAAGCATAAGTAATAATTATTTTTGATGTTCCGCATAGTTTAATTGGTCAAGTCATCTGACTAAAAAGTCGTGAATCCGAATCTTCGTCCCTACTGGTTGTATTTGATAAAAAAAGGAAAAAAAAAACTACTCACACCATTGAAAATACATTTTTATATTTTTCTATCAATATTTTATTTTATGACATAAATTTAATATGTATTTTATAAAAATTTCACAGTTTTTATTTGTTGAAAATATACGATAAATTTAACTTTTTCTAATGTATTTTACTTTACATTTGTGTTTGATTTAAAAAAAATATGTTGTTTTTTTTAAATACACTTTTATTTTATATTTTTTACATAACTCCCTCAATGGAGTGCATGTAATACTTCCATGTATGTCTAATAACATTAAAAAAATTATGACTTAAATATTATTTTGATATTTTTATTTTAAAAAAATGTTCATTATGATTGACTTACTTTCATTTTTTAATTCATTTTGTTTATTTACTTCCAAAATATCTATTTTAGTCCCTATACTTTTAAAAAATTATCATTTTGATCTCTATTTATAAAATTTTATACAAATTCTATACATCACATTGGAAATTATTTAATATATATTTATGGCTATATTTCAAGAAATTTAATAAATGAAGCCTCATGTTAAAATTTTGACCAAAATTTTCATCTTTTAAAAATAAGTTGATCAAAACGAATGTTTACAAAAACTAAAATAAATAAATATTAAAAGTATAGATATCAAAATAGACGTTTTGAAAATAGAAAAAACAAAAAAGACCTGAGAATATTTAAACTAATAATTGATAGTTCATAATCTAAACATACAATGGAAAAATTTCCAATATAATTGACATATAAAATGTCAGGTATAACCAAACTATTAAATTTCTGTCAATGTTTTTATGTGTTCATGATTCTAGTATTTTTTATACACACACACACAATGTTAAAATTATTTGTTTACTTCAATTTAAATATTTGTTACTAATTTTTTTTTATAATTTTTTCATAAATAGGAACATAGTGAAGTTTCAAACCATGCCGGATAATCTCGTGGGACGAAAGAAGAAAAATAAATACTATAAATTATGATCCCGAAACTTGAAAATGGCGGGGTTGTTCTAGAAGAGAAGAAGCCATGGCGTTATCCTTTATCCTCAGAGGGCACACATTTCCAAGCAACCGCCTCTCCGGATCTCTATATTTTGCGCCGAATGGCCGCCAATTCCCATTTCATATTCTTCTCTGCTCAATCTCAACCCTCCGGTACCCACACTCATGGAGAAGGCGATCAACAGGCAGAGGATTTTGCTCCATCATCTCCAACCTTCTTCTTCCTCACCTTACGACCATGAATCTTCGCTCTCTGTAAGTTTTTTCCATCGGAGGAGCTGACATAGTTGAGGATGTCGATTGATTGGATTTAACTTGTTTGCTTTGCTTGTTTTCATCTTGCCAGGCGTCGGTTTGTGCGGCTGGGGACAGTGCGTCGTATCAGAGAACGTCGGTGTTTGGAGATGACGTCGTGATTGTTGCGTAAGTTGCTTCGATTTTGATGGATTTCGCTCTCTGAGTCTGACTTGTTTGCAGCTTATTCTGAAATGGTTCGTTGAATTGCATTTGTGAAATCTCCATTTCGTTTCTCTCGTAGTGCATATCGTACTGCCCTTTGCAAATCGAAGCGTGGTGGCTTTAAGGATACTTATGCCGATGATCTGCTCGCCCCTGTTTTGAAGGTTTCTTGTTTCGCCTTAACTATTGATCTTAGATGAACTTATCGAATAAGAACAAAATCATGTATCTGTATTTCATCATTTTTGTTGTTTCTTGATTTAGTTGCTTGCTCATCTATGGTCATGAATGATGATGATTTGGTTCAGGCATTGATAGAGAAAACTAATCTGAATCCAAGTGAAGTTGGGGACATCGTTGTGGGTTCTGTGCTGGCCCCAGGTTCTCAGAGAGCTAGTGAATGTAGGATGGCTGCTTTTTACGCCGGCTTCCCTGGTATGCCTTTCCCCAAGAATTAATCATGTTCGTAGGTGTCTTCTTTATATTCATTTAAACATTCTGGCCTAGTTTAAAAAAATATTACCCAAAAAAAAATTCAAAACAATCAAAACAATTACTGAAGTGGTCTGGAGTATACTATCTCACATTTCTATATAATAAAATTTCTTTCATTCTTGGTTTTATATAAACACGAAAGTTTCTTATTTTTCTTGATAAAAAACCACGGTCAGATTTATTTTAATAGCAAGTTGTAAAGAACACATTCTTAGTTAGGTCTCTGATTAAGGCATGTGATGTTTTTGTCACAGAAACTGTGCCCATTAGAACTGTTAATAGGCAATGTTCATCTGGGCTTCAGGCCGTGGCCGATGTAGCAGCAGCCATAAGAGCAGGGTTTTATGATATTGGTAAGTAGCCCAAGGAGTTTGACTAAGTCTTAAAACTGCATGCCTTGTTTAGTATGCAAACTTATCTCATTCCTCATCTTTAAGGGATTGGAGCTGGGTTGGAGTCGATGACTGTTAATCCAATGGCATGGGAAGGATCTGTCAACCCAAGAGTACTCTCTATCCCTTGCTCTATTACACTTCTGAATATGGATATTTTAGTTCAATTCCAGTTAGTCTTGAAACTATACTTCAAGTGGAAATCTTAAAATGAATCTCCTCTTAAAATTGACAGGCAAAATCATTGGAACATGCACAAAACTGCCTTCTTCCTATGGGGGTAACCTCAGAAAATGTTGCCCAACGTTTCGGGGTGTCAAGGGAGAAGCAAGATCAGGCTGCAGTAAGTAGATCGGTGGATCTTCCTTTTCGTCCAAAGGCTCTTAGTAGTATATTTTGTATTGACCTTCTGGCAATATGTGCATAGGTTGAGTCTCACAGGAAGGCTGCAGCTGCTACTGCTAGTGGTAAATTTAAGGATGAAATTATCCCTGTTTCTACTAAGGTAAGTAGAAAGATTCAACACTATTGCAGTTTTCACATCATACATTAATAGGTAAGGCGATTGTTGTTGGGGTTTTGATGTCTTTATTTCTAACAGATTATTGATCCAAAAACTGGTGAAGAGAAAGCTGTTACGATCTCCGTTGATGATGGGATTCGACCGAACACAACCCAAGCAGATCTTGGGAAGTTAAAGCCTGTGTTTAAGAAAGATGGGAGCACCACTGCAGGTATAATGAGGTTTGATCATATTATTCATTTGGAGGAAGATTCTATGCTCCTTTTGGTCATAATCCTCTGGTGTGTAGGTAATTCTAGCCAGGTGAGCGATGGTGCTGGAGCTGTTCTCCTCATGAAGAGAAGTGTTGCACTGCAGAAAGGGCTTCCTATTCTTGGCGTCTTCAGGCATAAATCTCAAGATCTTTTTTAATATTTAGATGAAACTCGACAAGTTGCATTGATGAAATCAAATTGCACTAGATATTCGAAACTTCTTCATCCCCATATCCTTACTTGCAAACTTCTTAACAATTTTTCATTATATTAAATTCACCATTACTCTCTCGTGCAACGAGTAATAAAAGCATGCTTTCAGCTAAACATGTTAATGAAATTGTATTAGCCATTTAGCAAAACAAGGAAGGAGATTAAGCATAGTTTGACAACATAGGTGTTCTTCTCTCTTGGGTACTGTTTCGGGTCTTACCAAAGCATAGATTATTAAACTGTTCGAGGATGATAACAATGACCAGTTAAGTTTGGAAGTTCTTGAGCACGTTAATACTTTCTTTTTCTCAACATTTACTGTTGTTGGTTTTGTAGAACTTTTGCTGCTGTGGGTGTGGATCCAGCTATCATGGGCGTCGGCCCGGCTGTGGCAATTCCAGCCGCTGTCAAGGCTGCTGGACTTGAACTTAGTGACATTGATCTGTTCGAGATAAATGAGGTATCTTATCTTTTCTATCACAAATTGAGGTTTTAGCCTATTCGACATGCATTAGATTAGACTAATTCTCAACCTAACCTGCAGGCATTTGCATCCCAATTCGTGTACTGTCGTAACAAGCTGGGGCTTGATCCAGAAAAGATTAATGTTAATGGAGGAGCAATTGCCATTGGACATCCATTGGGCGCAACAGGTACAGCTCTAACACATAGCAGCTAATAAGTTGGAGTATATTTAATCTTTTATACATATTCGTAGCAGCTTAAACATCGATAACTATGAAAGTATCAAACAACATACTGTCTGAATTACTCTGACTAGTAACAAAATTTAGCAAATAGATTATCACAAAGCATGTATGTAGGTCTTTAAAATCTTTCTAGCATCAGATGATGCTCTTTACAAATGCTCATTAATTTGGTTGTGTATGCACTGGCATCTGTGGTTGTCGTTCTTCTGCAGGTGCCCGCTGCGTTGCTACACTGTTGCACGAGATGAAACGCCGCGGTAAAGATTGCCGTTTCGGGGTGATATCAATGTGCATAGGTACTCTCTCTCTCTCTTCCTCTTCCTCTCTGTCTCTAGCGTTTCTGAGTCAACGACTCGGCTGAATCGGTCGGGAATGATGATGAACACTTGAAATTGCAAATGCAGGCACCGGAATGGGGGCTGCAGCTGTGTTTGAGAGGGGTTATTGTGTGGATGAGCTTTGCAATGCCAAGAAAGTTGAAGGAATGAATCTGCTGTCCAAGGATGCTCGTTAGAACAAAACTTCACACCTCTTTCAGTAGTGAGAGACAAGGAATTAATAAAGGCTTCAGTTGTGGAAATTTGATTTATTTTCTTTGGTTCCAATTTCACCCTCAAGTTCTATTCTAGTTAGTGTCTGTTGATTTGTTCTCAAAACAAGCATTAATTTAATCTCATGGAGTGTTGAAAATAAGATTAAAATGAAAACAACTTTAATTCTTCTGCTCCTATTTCAAATATGTGTCTTATTTTAGTTCTTTTCAGAGTGGTTGTAAATAAATATCTCAAGGAATTTCAAGATTTCTTTTGGATGTCCTTAGATTTAGAAAAATATCTAAAATATTTAGAATTGCTCAAAATTTTATTTTATTTTTTATTGTAATTTCTAGTCCAGATATACTGTTTGTCCTCGTAGACAAATTTAGTGTCTTATTCCAAAAAATATTCATACTTGTATTTTATTGATATATATATATTTTTTTTTAATATATGGAATGTGATTTAAGGACGTTCTCAATATTAATTCTGCTTGAGCAACCTAAATAGAAGTTTATTAATTAAAAAAAAATCTGGACTATACGTATTTGAACTTAAGGATAAGCAAAGCATAGAGCTGTCTGATCAAAGTTGATAGATTCAAAATTTCATATGTTCCTGTATCGTTGAGGGCTTAAATCTTTTCGATGAGCATCCGAATCATTTACAAGGAATCAGATTCAACCCGAATCTTATACAAAATTATCCTTTCAACTAGTTGAAATCCTTCTAAAATATGTGTTTTATACAAAATTATCCTTTCAGCTCTTCCTCTTGATTTGGCTTGAGACGTTAGTGTGAACAGTGGACAAACTCTTTGTGAAAAGTAAAACAAAAGGTTTGAATCGTTAACTTTGTACACAACATGAACATAGATCCAATATAAGATTGGAGATTTAAATTCTCCCACACTTACCCATTTGTTGTGTTGTACTAGAACAAATTAGATATAATTTAATTATCGTGAGAAAATATTCTCAAATCTTTTAATAGATAAAACCAATAATTAATTCCAACAAAATGGAATCAAATCCAATCCGATCCTATCTATAATTTGGGTAATAAAGAGTAGATAAAACTTAGTATATAAAACAACTTTTTGGGTCTTAAATATTTATTTACAGGTCCTTTCATTTTCAAAAACTACATTTTTTATCCTCCACTAACAGAACCGAACAATCGTCCAACTTCTAAGCTGGGCTGAGCTGACATGGCATTTTAAAAAAA